TCTTTCACTAAATTCAAACACGCAGTCCCACTTCAACACTGGCTGTATTGGAGGCGAAGGGATTGTCAAAGTTGAGCCTTTCTGCTGTGCATCTTTGACTTTGCAACTTTCCATCCTCACCAGCTGGGTGTTTAAATAAGCCTTTGAAGCAAAGTCTTCCGCTTGCCTGCACTACTGGTCGTCTCGGTGGTGGAGGCAAAGCTCCATTCTTTTGTCCTATTAGTGATTTGGATTGATTCACCTCTCTGCCGTACTTCACGGCCATTGTCTTCTCTACTGACTCGAGTTCCTACCACCTCGGCCAATGGAAGGCAATGCATTCCCTCTGCCATAGTGGACAGAGTCATCGAGAAAAGTTGCTGTCTTCCCCACAAGGCCGAATATTTGTAGCTGAAATTTTTTTTTGTTTTGATTTTTCGCTTTCGACACCCACCTTAACTCTAACAAATTCACATTTGTGTCCAGAATGGGAGGAGAATGAGAGAAAAAAGAGAGGAATACACGCTTGTATACACCCATGGGACAGAATTTAATGTTGTCAGAGTGAATAATCCCTTCTCCTCTGCCTCCCCTCCTCCCCCTTCATCCCTCCCTCTCTCGCCTCCTTGTTGCTGGATGACTCATTCTCCTGCCGTGGTTACCTACCCCTCCTCCTCCTCCTTCTCCTCCTCCTCCTCCTCGTCCTCCTTTTGCCATAAAGGCGTCGTATTTTCCATGTGTTGGCTTGTGTGCGTCTGGCAAAATTCCAGTGAATTAGCCCTTCCTTTGGGGACTTTCAGTCTGGCCGAAAAGTGGGCCTAATTTTTGTTGGTTTTCGTAGTTGAGACCCGTCCTCGCTGAGTGATTTTGACACTTTTAAAGGAGAGAGGAATTTTTTTGCGATCTTGGCCTTGATTGCGGTTGCTGTTTTTGTTTTGCTGGTGTTGGTGTTGTTGTTGTTGTTGTTGCTTTCGTGCATATCTGTTGGCGTGGATTGGGGAATTTATTCCCGAGAAATTGCGGAATAGGAAGGAGGGCATCAATTTTTAAATTTGAGGGTCTATCAAGGGACCACTTGTCACCAATGTTTAGTCCCCATTCTTGGTCAAAGTAGTTGTTGGTAAGTCAGGAAATATAAATTCGTTGCAATTTTAAATACGGTTCGAACGCCTTCCGGTTTCTCCTGTAGGTACGTTTTGACCTTTTCCTTAATAAACTAGACGGTAATTGTTTATGTTACAACAGTTGAAGAAGCCTAGGCTCTCTAAAGTCTCAATTTTGTTTTCCTAAAACGAAGATTAAAATACTAATTTTGACTGAACACTTGGGCGGAAAGCGTATCTCGAAACACCTGTTTGAACTGCGAAACTGGCGGTATTTTGGTGGTGCAGGACTTCGCTCTCCACCTGGCACACACCTTCCCTTTCCTCCATAATTTGGGCTCTGATTAGACGCCTTCGGTTTTCAGGGTATTGGGATAGCAATGTGCCCATGGCATTTGTGATCGTTTCTGACCCAACGAGTACAAATTCTTTCAAACATTCCACCCATCCTACTGCTTTATTAACCTTCTCAGTGAAAGATTAGGAATTAACGGGTCTTTGCGATTGTTTCTGTCACCGCTCCTCTACATTCAAAGTCAAGGTGGAGGGTGAACTGGAAGAAAACTTTATCGTAGACAAGAGAGTTGGATTTGTGGATCACTTCTTCGAACATTGTCCTCGAAGTCGAGTCGGAAATGCGTGAAATCGGTGTGTCCCCTACCAAGGAAATATTTTAGAATTTCGCATATCTGCTTGTGCGGGTATGTGGGTGCGAGTCTGTGACATTTTAATGTTTCACAGTCAGATCTGTCTGAATCCGACACAACAATCTTGCCTATTTCCATTTTATGGCTTGACTTTTTATAAGATTAATTCTGGACTATGTTTTTTTGGGTAGTGCGCATTCATGGCCAAATTCCGTTCACAACTTCCGCGCGTAAACAGGTCTTGCAGAAGTTTCACTGCACTTGTATGTACTCATGCGAAATTCGGCGTCCTTTAATGTAGGTGCGCTTTTGTGGATTACCGTTTTCAAGTTATAGCAGCTTGTTCTACTCAATTTGTTTTCGCTGTAAACTGTGGCGCACAATGCAAAATTACTGCGATGTACTTTCGCTTCTGTTACATACTGTCTTGGTAAGAAGTTCTTTCACGAGTCGTCTTAAGGTCATTGTCGTTTTTTTTTTCACTTACTGCTGAGAAAAGGAGCATGAAGATGGTAGTGTTTCACAACTTGGATTTGGAATGATTGTCCAAAATTTAAGCAAAGCTTTATATTTTACGTGAATTTTTGCGTGCAATTGTTTGATTTAAGTTTTTGTTGGATCAGATCGTGGTTAATGGCTTTATTGTCTACGGTTTTTACTGGACTTTTAAGGGGCTTGCTACTTCTGTATGGAAGGAATATACCACCCTATCGGAAGCGCAATTAATACGAATGAAACGTCTAACTAATTAACTATTCCATCAAACATGGTAAAACATTGTGGGTTCCCCTTTCTAAACGGCAGCAGAAAAATGGAGTTGAAAAGGACATGTTGCGCGTTTGTGGAAGGGTGATCTTCATGTACCAATGACTCTTCATGCTTTTGACTCAATTTTAATTCTTAACTATCACATTTTTCGCATAGTCATCTGTAGCAAAAGTTACTTCAATCGCCAGACACCGCTAAAGGCTAGACATCATTCCCTAGCCAGTATATTATTCATGTCAGTTGCTTAAATGTAGGATGAGGAAGGGGCATGTTCTTTTCCAAGGTCATATGAGTCATTTCGTCCAAGAACGCATTGTGCGTCCGTTTGGGTTATTTCTGAGCTATTGAAATCTAGCCTCTCGATAAGTGTTCATTGTCCAACTCCTAAAATTTGAGATCCTGTGGTCGTTCATGGCGATATTTTTTTTCTTAATTTTGGCTCGAGGACCGAGAGATTGTAGTCGTGGCCTTGGATATACTGTTGCGCGGCTGTACATTCCGCATTTATTAAGACTTCATACCATAGCACCGCATGCAGCTTCTCTAAGTAAGTAACTTTGTTTCGTTCTTGAAATCTACTCTATTGTATGTTAGCTTTGGTTGTCGGCTGGCAGTGGTAGAAACTTTTCGGATGTTTTCGGTTTTAATTTTGTTTAAACTAGATGAATATAAACGCACTTCGAGTTAGTACCAATCATGAATCCCAGTGGGTCAAATTGACCCAATCCAAAGGCCAGTACGGATCACGCTTGATGTTTCCAATGTGTTAAAACCCATTAAAATGCATTTTGCGTTATCTTTTCTCGTCAACAGGTCAATGTAACCGACTTTGAGCTCCGGGTGGCTACTCTAGTTTCAAAATCCATCGCTGAAATCCTTGGCATTCACTCGATCCTCTGCCCAGAGATGTACAGGTCAGTTTTTTATCGTACGATTGGCTAATAGCCTTCTGTTACTAACGTTGTTGTAACCAATCACATTCCTCTTTTCAGCTGTGATGAGAACGAGGTCTTTTCATTGGGTGATATCTCGCGCTTGCGATTGGCTCTTCTTAGTGGCATGTCAGCCTGCCTCAGGTCACCAAATCTTCAAGTAAGTTGTTGAAAGTTGTCAGTACTCACCATAACGCCTGTGTTTATGGATTTTAGCTATTTGAGAGGATACACCACCAGAGTTCTCAGACATAGGAAAGGTGAATTATAACAAGGCAATGGGTTGATGTCTACATCATTGAAAAGTGGAGGCCGTAGACAAATTAGTTTTGTTCGTTTGGATTGACATAGCAGGCGATGGGTTTTGGTAAAGATTCGTTTGCTCCTCAATTTCGTCATGTGTACGGCGAAATTTCCCATTGTAGCTCTGATTTTTCTGGCTTTGCGAAAAGTAGGATGTGTTTCAAAGCTTACTAGACGACCCAATGTATCTTTAATCGTTTCCAAACTATCCACGTTTCCAAGGCACGCACTTCTTCATGTCACAGAAGACTACCTTATGGGAATGTAGCGATCTGGCGGTGGAATGTATCACAAGCGGTCGAGAGTCGCTTAACACGGTGAACTTAAAAGTGTGCAGGAAGAAGATTTGCATCAGAAACAATAAGTTAGAAAAGCGTACTACTCTCGTAGTGGGGCGTAGGACCTCACAATGCACTTTAAGACAGGGTTGAGTTGCTGGTTCAGCTTTATTCTTCCTGTTTTGTCGACTCTCTAGGGATTTTGTTAATCTTACGTGAATTGGACAGGCAGAAAAGGGAACTAGGCTGGAAAAAGTGGCCGAAGATGGGAGTGACATTGGTTCACCTTTACTTTAAGCCTCATCACCTTCATTGAATCTTATTCTGTCATAACTGTACTTAGCTTTCAGTAAGTTGCCTCATTATTCGTGCATAAACTCTGGACAGGAATGATTTTATCTGCGCGATTTTTCTGTTAAAAAAGAGAGCTTTTTTTGGAGAGGTTAAATGGTGAATATGGTGTTATTCGTCAGCCAGTCGCTTTTACTTCGGGAAAATCAGCATATTTAAGCTGGTAACTATTGAATCGTACCAACGCTACTATCTTCTAGTCTGGATAAATAGTTCACTATCAGATTTAGTCCCAGTTGTGTGTGTACTGATTTGGTGAAGAGCGGGTAACAGATGTCAATTGAATGTCAGAAATCCAGATTGCATCTGAGCTGATCATTCCCAAACTGAAGAAGTTCAAATCTTTTTGAAAAGCACTCTTTTACTCCTTTTGGGTCGAATTGTTTGGAATCGGCACCAATCTTCTGTCAATAGTTCAACTTGCATCAAACTTGAAACAGCTTTATGTCTACCTTTTCCACATGTGATGGTTTTCTCGTTAATTCTTCCGAACCTTACTTTCTGTGCCCTCTGTAGGAATTAAGTAGAGCGCAAACGGTGTCAATTTTTTTCATGAGGTTCACCAAATACGCCCTTTAGAGTCGATTAATTTGTACTGATGCCATGGCACCTCCATCTGTTTGTCTTCAAAAGTGGTCAGTAGAAATCGAATTAATCAAAAAGGATCATGATCTCCGACCAACTGCTTCTCGACTCCAATTCTTGATGTGCTAATCGCGAACTGTCTAGGCCGTGGTGCGTCTATCTTTCATTCGCTCGTCGCAAAGGATCATCTGTTCAGGGCATATTCGAGCGCAGCGGTGTTCTACTGTCACATCTCTTCTGAATGTTGTACGGTCTCTAAAACCTCGTGATTGGGTCAACTTCTGGTCATAGCATAAGACCGAGTCCAGCCGAAATTTGTCTTAGATTCAAAACACTGGCAACACCAGGGCGCTATACCGATAGGCTGATCCATTAATTGTGAGCTCTTGTTACAATGAGCTATACCTGAGGCTTCTCAATTCCTAAGCGTCTTATGGTTCAAGCCGATGATAAGGAAGATCAGGTCTAATCGCCCTACCAGTGATTTCCTTATATCTGGCATTATTTGTCCCGCAGGAACGTGAATCTCTCCGCACTGATACCTGCGGTAACGGGATTATCGACCGCGGAGAGGAATGCGAGCCTCATCAACAGGGCCTCCCCATCGGTTTACCTCACACTACCAACGGAAACTTCAACAAAAGTCTTAACTCTCCTGCTTTCGGTTGCTGCGATCCCAAGACCTGTCTCGCTGATGTTCATGCCGTTTGTGTGGAAGGTGGATGCTGTCGTGGCTGTCAGTTGGTTGCACGTGGACGCCTCTGTCGGCCTGCCAGGGACCAATGTGATCTGCCCGAATTCTGCTCCGGCTATGAGGCGAGTTGGCACCCACCGTAATGGACTTCTTACTGATAAGTTTTAAAGTAAGTCTCACTTTCGTGATCACTTCAGGCTGAGTGTCCAGGCGACCTTTACCTGGAGAATGGAATGCCATGTAAGGGTGAAAAAAATGACGATGTTGAGGAGGAGGCTCTTTGCTATGAAGGTCGTTGCCCAACCAGGAGTAGCCATTGCAAAGCTCTTTGGGGACAGAACGCGCGAACTGCAGATGATTATTGCTACAGCACAATGAACAGGAATATTGATTCTGCTTGTGGAAAGGGTGTGGTGTGTGAAGAAGAGTGAGTTGATGAATTGGTCGATCCTGTTGTTCTGCCAAAATAGATGTTTAAAGCCAATATGCTGCTTGATTTAGGGATACAATGTGCGGATTGTTGCATTGTCAGAATGGAAGTGATGAACCCCTTCCGGTGGAGGCTCGTTCGCTCAGCTTTTTTAATCTTCGAACTCAACATGAACAGCATAAAATTCAATGCCAGTAAGTGGTTGTCTTTATTCACTTGAACAGTTGAAAGCAGTCGGAGGGATCGGCTAACTTTAGACCAGTTGTCTTTCGAATCTTTATTCAACTTGGAATTAAAAAAAAAAACTATCCTATCTACAAAGAGCTGCTGTCTGTTTAATTCGAAGGCATTATATGAATAGTGCAGAGGAGGTATTTACGAGATTTTCACTGTCTCACTTCAGGTACGTAGCAAGTACACACAAATTCAGCTACGTTCCCGAGGGTGCCTCTTGCGATGACGGTCGTTTTTGCTTCCAACATCGATGCATAAAGCCCACTGCTATCGCAGTTCACTCAAAGTGCCCCAAAGGACCGTACTTAGATTTCTGGGGAGTGTCAGATGGAAGCAACGATTACATTCATCCCGCAGTGCGACGAAGTCTACCTACTGCCACCACTACGCCCATTAATATGACCTGCTCTGGACGTGGGGTAACTTAGTAATTTCTGTGGAAGCCACATAAGCATTACTTATCTCTATAAGTGATCAAAATGTCACGTTCTCACCGCTTTCCCTCCACAGATTTGCACCAATGGAGCCTTTTGTCTCTGTCCGCCTGGATGGCATGGTCCCTCCTGTTCCCATCAGCAACCATCCAACAACCCAAACGCTTCAGTGAGGTCGCGAACTAAAGTGGCCTACACCTCTGTCTACCCTGATGAAGACATTGCCAGTTTGATTTGGATGTACATTCAAGCCATGGATAAAAATCCTGGTACGAATGGTGAAGGATGTTTTGTTTCCTCGTGCATCGTTTGTTTACCTATGTTGTGTTACCTTTTCTGCGTACTTATTTCAGAGGGACTAACCGAGCCTGGACCAGTGAATACTGTTTATCTTATTTCAATTTTGGCTGCTGTCATAGCCTGCGTCTTCCTCTGCTTGTGTGGCATCATTTTCTTGTACAGGTGCGTAATCACTTCATGCTGGTGATTCTGCCATCAGTAATTAAGTGGAGCTTGAGTTTTCCCTCAAGCTGGAGGCGTTTGAATCTGAGCTGTACTTCGAGATCGAGAGATCAGTTGGGGTGTCCTTACTAGTCCTTCTCGAGTCTATTCTTCTAACTCCACTATCGTAGGATGGTCTGATAGCTGAATTGAGGTAACAACAACTTTTAGTATTTTCAAGACAAATCTTTTTGTCGTAGGGCAGTTCCCTGTGACCTCAGTGGCTTGCATTGCCTGGCGTATTCTCGACTAATGGCAAACGTCTGTGACGTTCTGATTTTCTTTGCCTGCTCAGCATCTAGTCATCGAAATAAGACTCACTAATCCAAGGCGTGAAGGTCCGCAGGACCGGAAAGGCTGGTCTGTGTACTCAACAACATCAAGACGAGGCCAAGTTTGGTCGTAACTAACACCAGGTTTTGTGAAGCTTTGGTAGATGTAGGCAACTTTAAAAAAACCCGATGGTAGTAGTAATGGTCTTCTGAGTTTGTTTGTTTTTCGGTGATAAAATAGTTTGTTTTCTTTGGTGCCTTTAGACGCCGAAATATTAACAATCGAGGCTTCAGTTTCGGTGTTAAAGGGAAACGATGCCTCTCTTCTCCAAACAGTCGCCTTTCACCTGCTCTCTTCGATTCTCCAATGAGCAAGTCCTCTGGTACTGCCACGGCCACTACTACTGCTGCGAATAGCATAGATTCTATGTGCCTCTGTAATCGGAATTCTCGCCCTGGTGGAGCCTCACTAGACGATATGGAACTGCACTACCATACGCGTCGCTCTTCTCATTCCCGTCGGCATCGGCATACCTCTTCTTCCTCATCCTCCAAGAATCGAAACCGTCGACAGAAACGAGGTGGTGGAGGTGCTGGTGGGGGTGGCGGTGCTAGTAGCGGAGACAGTCTTCAAACTGGACCCAACGGAACTGTTGAATCTGGTCCAGAGCTGGGTCGAAACGGGGAGGATAGCGTGAAGGACGAGAGTGGCAATGGGGTTGGAAAGATCAAGTTTGGATCAATGCCTTCCTATCGGGAGGATAAGATGAAGCATGCAAGGGATAATGCTACTTCGACGACAATGTCAAACACTACTGGGATCTCAACGATAACTAATGCGGTAGTGACCACCACTACCACAACCAATAATCTGCTCCAGCAACAACAACCGGCGTTAATAGATTTTTCGGCACCATGGCCATTACCTCCTCCCCCACCGCCACCACCCTTTGTTGTTCCTGCTGTGTGCAGTGTAGTTGCAACACCGACTCCAATTTTTGTGGGAAGTTCATCTCCTTGGTTGTCTGCGCCACAGATGCCTCTATCAACAGTCGGTAACGTTGGTGCCACTACAACAACATGTGCTAACGTAATTTGTACGGATGTTGGGGAAATGGAGGTAGGCGTGATGAGTGCGCAGCCTTCAAGAAAGGTGATGACGACGTCGACCATTTCGGCAGACGAGACAGAGGTGCGAGTTGAGCGTTTGCTTCGTCTATGCATTCATTTTTGATTCTAAATTTTATGATGGCGCATTGAGGTTGCTTATTTTTCTGCAAATTTACAGACACCCCAAGTGACTGTGATTCGGGAGAACTCTTGCCGTCAACCGGAGAAGGGCATCCTCAAAAATAAGCACGAAGGTGGTGGCGGCGTGGACATGCCAGAACTCCAAACCTCCACAAATGGAGAAAGTGGTGGTAAGAAGCGAAAGCACTCTTCCAAACGCTCCAGCAAGAAGCATAGTTGTTCTTCGCCTCACTTCTCTGGAGCTCCCTCCTCCACTTCCTCCTCTTCTACTTCTACTACGGGCTCTCGAAGTCCTTCTGCATCGTCTACTGGCTCATCTTCATCTTCGCTTTCTTCCGTGAGTTCGTGCTCAACCAGTAGGGCAACTGACGATACAAATTCGACGAATTTTGTGGCCTCCGTAACCCACAGTGGAGACGAGGATGAGGAGGGAGGAGTGGCAGACATTATATCTGACTCCGGTAGCACTTGTTCAACAGCTTTGGAGGCTGGAGAAGAGGAGAGGAAAACGGGTGGAAGGAAATGTCGGCATAAGGTGAGGATTTCTTACGATGTTTTTAAACGCACTTTATCCAATGTTTATTGACGCCTCGCAATGTAAAGAGGAGTCACTCAAGTATAATTGATAACGGACATTATCCATTGATGAAAGAGTAAGATGGACTGTGGCAAAGGCTAGAGAAGGATCGACTATGTCAGAACTGGCGGACGGGTGCGTTTTTGAACTGAAGGCAATCGCCTACCGGCGATGCAAGTGTATTTGAAGCTTGGAGTTGTTGGTAATGGTTGACATCCTTCTTGGATTCAGAGCCATCGACATCGCAAAAGTCAATGTAAGAAGAAATCGAGTCACCGTCAGCACAGTCGTGGTCACAGCCATCACCATCACCACGGGCATAGTCATCATCGTAGACGTCAACGCAGCAGTAGCACTGGAGGAGACACCTCAGCAACTAACACCAGCACTCCCCCGACAACTACAACAGCCTCAACTTCATCCACGTCTTCACCATGTCATCGTCGTTGTCACCGTCGGCGTCGAACTGGTGTCAGTCGGAGGTATCGTCTCTCCTCAGAGGATGCCGAGAGCAGTATTGGTGGGCAGAATCATAAGGTTCCGACAATCCTCTGCAATGCAGAACAACAGACAGATGAAATTAGTTTGGCAAGAGCGATGGGGGCGATATTTCCGGCTTCACAAAAGGGTGAGTTTAAGATCCTCCAATTCTATTCTGACCAGTTTTTAGGGCAAAAAAAATAGGTGGGACCAAACTACTTGGGCTTTTATTGCATATGAGTAGTCCAAATTCTTTCATATCCTCGTTTTGTTGGAGGTTAAGACTTTTACATTCGTTAGGGTTGGGAATCTTTGCTTCGTCATAGTATAGATGGTCGTGAACCTTCAAAATAGTGATCAGTCTGTTATTGGAATACACGTTAAATCTTTCACAAATCATTGCCAATCAATCACTATACTCTTCCTACAGATCTGCAATCTTCCAGTTCATCAAAAGACCTTCAAAATGCCAATAGCAATAACCTCCAGCAACAACAACTAACTTCTGATGTAATTGACGAGGAGGAATCGGAATGGGAAGAAGTGGAATGCACGGGTGGTTCTGATTGTGAGGAGTGTCGAAAAAATGCCGCAATCTCTCCGTGGAATGCCTCGGCGGTTCCGCCAACACCACCTTCAGCAGGGGGTCTTCTTTCAAGGCAGTACAAACTGCCTTCGCCACCACCACTACCTCCGGTTATTGTCACTTCCACACCTTATTATTGCACCACTCAACTCTCCCAGCCTGGTTAGTTGGATGGACGGCTTAAATGCTCATTACCCATAACTTTTCTGTAAATGCACTTTTACTTACAAAATTTAAGTAGTCTTAGTTATTAATTGTTGGCCCAGTTTCTGAGGTAAATTTTTGAAGATTTTTAGGCATTTGTGCCGAACCGGATAAAAGGATTGCTTTTTCGTGGGTGTAATTATGATTGATTGCCTTCGCACTGATTGCGGTGCTTGCTTTGTACTGGAGCAAAAGTTATCAGGTTATTAATCAGGTTAACAGTCACATTTATTTTCCCCTTCAAATTCGGCTTTCTGATCTTGCCTGGGTAATCTTCCTACACCGTGAAGCCGGGAAAATTAATGAGAGCATTTTTTTTCCGTCCTGCGTTCTTTCATATTGAATGGGGTGTTTCGATTTGTACTTTAATGTCTAATGCCCGGACCGTCAAGTAAAAAACACTGGCCAATTAACGTCGTTCCATGAGGCGTAGAGATGGGAATGATTTAGTGACTTTCATATTTGCATCATTTGGCAATTCTTGCATCATTGACTACTGACGTGACAATCAAGTTGTTTTCTTTTAGTTTTTCACCATTTCCCTTAATTCATCTCCATCTAGTTATCGGCCGCTACAGTCATTTTTGTTTCTTGCATGTTAAAACTATTTCTTGGTTTATAAACGTCACGACACGAGTCGGGGCATAACTGTAACTAAAGTAAAAGGAAACAGTTTTAGCACTCATATTTACTCTCAAGTTGAATAAAGAAACTTTCCTCAAAAGGTAATCAACTGTTCCTCCATCCCAACCAGAAATCGACCCATACTACCAACCACCGATAGAAGACACAGACTCATTTGTTGCTGGCAAGCCGGGTCTCGTCTCTCACCTCAAGTATTCTGGACATGCTGAGGAGGACGATGGATTGATTAGCAGCAGAACCACTCAGGGAGGACTCAATCTCACGCCGTCTTTGAATCCATCCACTGACTGCTATATGACAAAGGATTCAGATGGATTGGCGCGAAAGACTTCCCCTGCAGTGCCCTACATTTCCAGACGTGTGGGTTGGGTTTGAAATTAAATTGTCTATGCTATTGTGTGGTGACATTTTTTTGTTGTTTTTTGGAAGTGTCACTGTTGCCATGATTGAAGAGGAACCAAGTGAAATGGAGACTATCCAGCATCTGAATCTCACGAGGCGGAGATCAAGTGTAATTTTTGAAGTCATCTGTTTTAAAGTGTTTGATGCAATCGCGAACAGGGGAGGTGAGGTAGACTTCGATGCCATCGCTGATTGCACCAAAGAGTAACTAACTCCAATGTCTTCAAAAAATGCTGAACGTATACTTTGTCTCTAAACCAAAGCTATCTCATCACCTACTTTTTTATGCCCTAGACTATTCTGCTCCCCTTGTTTTATGACATTGGAGGTAACAAAGCACTCAGAGTCACAAATTTGTGACGTTGGACCCATAAATACCTCATTATGCGCAAATTAATGCATTGGTGGTTTGTTTCTAATGTTTCTTTAATGAATTCTGCTACTAGGATTTATATCCACCGTGGCTCCCTCCCCATTAGCCATCTTTCTTCTGCGGAAATAGGTGCTGTGCTGTCACACCAATTCAAATGGAAGGTCATTATAAAGGGTACTCCATGAAATTTCGGGGATATCCTGTTTATATTGAGAGCAGTGGCGGTTTTTTTGCTTAAGAGGGATGAATGAGGGTGCAATTCTATTGTTTGTTGAGGGGAAGATGTCTTTGGACCGGCAGGGTTCATGCCTCGTCCACTTTTATGCTCGTGTCTCACATTCGACGAAACTAAAAGTTCTAGAGCCGCAATGTAAGAATCTAGTGGTCTGACTTTCTTATCTCTTAAAAAGTGGCAAAATGTTGATTAAGAGTTGACGGTGTTTCGATTGTTAACCGTCTTTCATTATCGGATTGGTGGACGTGTAGCCAATGGTGTAGCAGTTTTCAAGGCTAACCAGCCAATCGAATGCATTCCCTTCTGAATCATATTATTATCGGAAACAAAGTGTACGTGGTGGCTTCTTGCCCAACAATTCATGCCCCCCTCTCCTATCACAGAATTACAATGGTTCGGACAGTGATTTCTCCCTCTCAACCTCGGTCAAGAAGTCTCCCACACTGGGGCACACTGTGGATTGGCTGTCATCCGGCAACTCCTCCCAGACCGGTGGTCTGGGCAACCACGTGTCAGCGGCGGTTGCAGCTACAGCTCATCAGTGGTTGGATGTGGCGGAGTCAGATGCCAGTTCATTGCCTGACGCCTCCTGCGATTTGGTGCATTTGGCCCAGTTGAGCCACGCAGCACGGATGAATCCTAACCTCTCCGATCTGGCTCGACAACAGGTACGAGTTGATTCTTGTCATTGGTTCTTAATGAATGATGGATAGAAGGAAGCCAATTCAATTAATTAGTCTCTGACACGTCAAAATTGGCGAGGGGAGGAATGAATGGAAGAGGACTGGGTGGTGCACCATAAGTGGGTACACAAATTGGGGATAAATCAAGAATGAATAGGTTCTTCATGGAGATTATGTTCCAGGAGTGTGGCAGAGGGGTTGTATGAACTTGGTGGCTAGATAGTTATAGCTCAACTAATCCCAGTTTCCCAAACATGATTTGTCAAATTCATCTCCATTTCTTTTTGGTTTTCATTTAGGAACGAATCCGACATGGAACTGAGGCGCCCTTCTACTCAAAACAGCCTTGAGCTCTCTCACTGCCTTATGTTTAGCATTTTGTCCCATCTCACCTCCTCGTCTCCTCCGTCCTGCGCTCCCACTCTCCCCTTTGTTACCCACACGTGCGTACCACCTCAAACACCTCCGATCATCATCACCATCATCAGCATCATTATTACCAAAATTATCATTAGAACCATCTTCTTGCAAATTTCTTTTTCATGACCTGCACCATTCTCCCCTACTTTTAATGCATTTCATACCCCAAAGACGAGTGTGACCACACACACACACACAGACAGACAGACGGACAGACTGCTAAGAAGTCATGACCGCGCCAAGCAAAATCCTTTGCTGACTTTCTGTTTTTACTAAGTACAAGTGATTATTGTTGATGAGTACTGCAATTGCATCGAGTAAGTACTCTTGTTAATCAGATGAGTTAGGCATCACACAAGCATGTCACTTTTTACCAATCCAGAGGTCAGAGCTTTTGCATTTGCATTTTGACAGGGTTTGATGCATTACCACGTCGGTAGCTGAAGAAGTAGGTTTGAGCATTGTCATCCAAATTGGCAAGGTCGTGTATGTCAACCTCTACGGTGTGAAGAAGAGTGCCCTTCCAAGTGTTGATGAGCATTCTTCTGTCCACCACTGCTATGAACACAAAGGCAAGTGTCAGGAACTGGGGAAAGGAGGCGGAGGAGGAGGAGAGCGGGTTTTTCGGAGACCTTCTGGAGGAATCGGATTTGCTTGTGCTCTCATCCATCCTGTTGTCACTTTCCCCAATTTAAGCTGGTGGCTTAGGCTTGAACTTTTACAAGTTTATGGCATTTCACCTCACGCCAGTCCGCTGCAAACCTGGCAATTAGCAGATCATGACCCAGAGGAGTCTCCAATAAAAGTTAATTGAAGCTGACTCTACAAATTGCCAAGATTTGGGGGCTTAGGGAGGTTTTTTTCCCCTTTCTTTATCCTAACCCTCCTTGCGGGCATCCAAGTCGTCCAGACGTGGGTAAGTGTCCACGCCACTGCTGATCCCGAGGAGGATGGAAAAACGCAATGCGAATCGGATCATAATTATGAAGTAAAAAAAAAAGGAGGGTTCTTTTATAGCTTTAAAGTCAACTTGTGGCTTTTTTGCGGGGATAG